ATTTCAAAATTCTTTTCTACGACTATTTCACACCACAGATTTCAAAATGCTTTTCAATAATTATTTTACAATAGAAATTTCAATGATCACTTCAAGATACGAATTTCAAAACTTTTTTAATAATCATTCTACGATAAAAATTTCGACGATTGTCTCACGGTACGAATTTCAAAAATTTTTTTCTATGATTATTTTACATTACAAGATTCAATGATTGTTTGACGATACGAATTTCAAAATTCTTTTCTACGACTATTTCACACCACAGATTTCAAAATGCTTCTCAGTAATTACTTTACAATAGAAATTTCAATGATCACTTCAAGATACAAATTTCAAAACTTTTTTAATAATCATTCTACGATAAAAATTTCGACGATTGTCTCATTGGTACGAATTTGAAAAATTCTTTTCAACGATTATTTCACACAATGAAAATGTCGAAATTCTTTTCGAGGATTATTTTACAATACAAAATTCATTCAACTGTACATCAACGATTGATATAATTACCTTCGACGTTCTTATTGATACGAATTTTAGAGATATGAACCATTCAAATGTAACAATTGCAATGTTCAAAGTCCGTTTCATTCGTGTTCCCTGCGATTCGTTGCGTCCATTCCCACCACTCCATTGCCACTCTCAAATTAAGGAACGAAGGAATTTGAGAAATTCGAAAACGCGATAAACGGCGAGGGAACGGTCTCTAAACGGCCACTCAAGTGGTCACGTGGATATGGTGGACGATAACGAGCGCAGAATAATGCCGGTGGTTTTAGGCAAATCAGACGAGGGTGGATACTACAAGACGTACGGTAGCGACGCCGAGGGCGAGAAGGGTTACTTGACGGCAATCTACAGCAAGGGTAATCACGGTTATAAGACCCTCGACACCTTCCACAAGCAGGATGGCGACAAGTACGCATTCGAGAAGCACGCCGCCTACGGCAAAGCGCGTGCTGACAAGAAAAGTAGCCACAACGACGAGGCAGGCAGCTCTCGTTCTGGGAAAGCCGGTGATCACGAGGGCGCAGGTACAGAGAAACTATACGACGTCGAGCACGTAATTGCGTGGCAACCATAGAGCATACGGGATGAAGACAGTTCCTTCGCAACTTACCACTTCGGCAGAAGCTAGCTTTTACAATTTTACTGTTTCACGCAATTTCGCCAGAGTGGGGCAAGGAAATTAAATTACTGCTCCTCCTGAAGGTTC